TACAACCATTAATACTGCAACAATAAAATATATCCCTTTTGTCAACCACTTAGATACTAAATGAGAATTAAAAAAAACTAATTTTAAAATTATGGCTATAAATCTTTAATTAAAAAATAAAAAAAAAATAAATAAATTTGCAGAAGGTGGTAATTTTAGGTGTTCTATTCCACATAATTGAATTGATATCGCGAAAATATAAAAAATAAAAAAATTATTTTTTGAGATATTTATTAATTAGCCCCTTTTATCTTTAGCTCTTAAAATATTATACTTTTTACAGTTAGAAAAATATTCCATAATTACCATCTTTTACGCTTATATTATTTATTATATTGAATAGAAACAAGTTACTTTAAATTAATATGTATACTAATAAGTATAATTTATTGTATTATTTATTTGCTTAAAATAAATTATAGCTAATTTTCATATAAATTTGTGATATCACTAAAAATATTAAAAAACAAGATCGTCTACATCATACTGGTGAGCACGATAATTAGTAATATAGATGTTTTTAAAATAAATTTCTAATAAAAAAAAATAAAAATAATTGATTTTATAAAAATCAAGATACTTAATTGATAAATAAAATAATGACATTTATTAATTTTTAATTGTGCAAAAATATTAATAAAATTAATGTAACCCGAAAGTGACAAAAAAAAATTTTTTTCGAAATAATCGTTGCCCCTAAAAAAACTTATCTACGCGGCCTGAAGCGAACCAACCCAAAGAAAGTATTTGCTGCGGCCGAAGCGACGTCTTGCTATTTATTTCTAAGCTACAAGTAGTAAGATAAAAAAAAAATATTGAAGCATATGAATGTACGTTTCTATTAAGTAGAAGTCTAAACCTGAGTTGGTTTGGTTACTAAAGCTAACCAATAAATTTTATACAAACACCACATTTTAGCCTTAATAATAAACAGACGTAGTCACTTCACTTTATCCTGTATAATATCTGGATTGGGTAGCGGGAATAAATGTCATAATGAGATCTTTACGGGAAAGTAAATCAAAATTTACTCCCATTTTCCACGCCACAAGTGCAATTTAATGTCCTTCCAATTCCCCTATAAAGTTTTTATCTCCATTAATTAATCCGAAATGATTTATTATTTTATTATCCAGTTTAAATGAATTAATCACTTATTTTCCTTGTTGCCTCGTCAAAGCTATAAAATGACGTAATTTCTTGAATTAGATATTATTTTAAATTTATTTATGAGGTAAAAAGCTTACAAAAAAAATCATTTAACGATACTTTTCTTTGCAATCCTCCCTTGTATAAATAGAAAAAGATAATACAACCATCAAAGAACTAGTGCTCGAATCGACCCAGGTCATTCAACCCGACTCGAGCATTAATTCGAGTCGGGTTATAATTTTTATGACACGAGTCCTAATTTAATAGGACCCAGATGATCTAGTTTTACGTTATCGCGACTTAGATATGTTAAAACTTTTTTTAAGTAATATTAAAAATAGAATGAATTATAATAAGCTTTGTTATTATGAAGATAAAATATGGAGATAAAGCTATATTCGTTATGTTAAAGAAATAATTATTTATTTATAACGCCAAATCTTAAAGTCAATACAATTCGCGCCTGTATGTGTGAAAATTTTGTGGAAAAAAAAAAATTAGGGTTGATGCACAACAAAGAATTCAAATTTAATATGACACTTTTTTTATTATTTTATATAAATAAAATGGTTTTATTTTTCGACATAATATTACCCTTGAAAATTCGATTCGAAGTCGAATTCGGGTTCAGTAATTATTAACGGGTTCGAATTCGAATATGCTTCAAACCCGACCCGACCCGACCTTACTGAGCACTAATTTCAGATACAGTAATACGACATTCAAGTTCAAGAAATTTTCTTTCATAAACCTATATAGTCACCTCCTATATAGTCACCTCCTATATATCACTCCTCTCTTATAAGCGCATTTAGTCACATCATATAACTTTTTTACCAAATTTTTTTGATCCTGAGCTGTGACTAGACAGGAGGTAGACTGTATTTACAAAGTAACGCTATATGTTTTTAAAAAAAGCTTAGAATTGAAGATATTTGATCCAAACTCCAAGAAATCTAACCCATTTTAGGCTTAATATTAATAATTGTGGTATAAATCTTTAATAATTTTATCTTTTATCGTTTTTTAAAAAAAAATAATAATTCATTATCATTATCTTTTTTTTTTTTTTTTTTTTTATAAAAAATCGAGACAAATTTATTAATATTATATTTAAACTTTAATTAACAAATAATTATTTTAATTCTGCAAAAAAAGCTAACGTAATTTAACATCGATTAAATCTTCGGTATATTTCCACAATTTTTCGGCTAATTCCTCATCTTGAGCTGCCGCAGGCCTGTTTCCAATCATGCCAAATGGTTCGAAATATTGATCACGATAATTTCTTTCAACAATTTCGGGGCTTGTAGCAGCATATAATGGTGTTAATGCTCCATCTTCAGATGGTATCGCAAACAAAGTATAAGCAACTTTGCTCGATATTTTCGCAATGAATCCATAAGTACTAACTAGTCCTCTTGATACTTCGGTTTTAACAAATCCTAAAGAAAAAAAATTATTTTTTTTTTATTAATCTTTTAGAGATTTCTTTTTCTCTTTTTTTTTGAAATATTATACCTGGATGAACTGAATTAACGTAAACTTCTTTGCCTTCAAGTCGTTTCGATAATGATTTTGTAAAAAGGATCATGGCAAGTTTTGATACACAGTAACGTAGCTCAGGTGTTAGAGCACCTTCTTGATTAATCTTATCGAAATCAATCCCTACATCCGGTATAATTTTGTGAAATGAACTATTTTATACAAAAATTCGGTTAAATAAATATAAATTATTTATAACTAAGGATTCACTCGAGTTTTAGTATTTAAACCTTTGTAAGCTAACCTGCTGACGTTAACGATTCGAGAAGGTGCAGAAGCTTCAATTTTAGCTAGAAGTGTCATTGTGAAAAGCTAAATAAAAAGAAAGATATGATTAATCTTTTGAATAAATTTAAAAGTAAATTAAATATAATACTTACGAAATGTCCAACGTAATTCACTCCAAATTGATCTTGGATCCCATCATCAGTTAATGACCAAGGGCTAAATTGGTTTTTTATTAGAATAAAAACTTATAATCGAAAGTTGTAAAGCACATAAATCACATTGTGACTTACGTCGCAAAAATTCCAGCGTTATTGATACTAAAAAAATATTTAAAAGATAAATATGGTTTAAATTTAACCAAAAATATGTATATATAAATTTACGGCAAAAATGAACTTACAGAATGTGTAAAGGTAAATTTTTCGAAAGGAAATTTTCAGCAGATTGCTTCACAATTTTCAGGTTACCTAATTCTAAATATAAAAATTCTACCTGATTATTTCTAGTTTCTTTTTTAATTTTTTCTACGGCACTTTCGCAACGTTCTTTATTGTGACTTGCAACGAATACATGTGCATTTTTACGAGCTAATTCTCTCGCTGTGATGTATCCGATTCCTGTGTTGCCTCCAGTGACAATGGCAACTTTTCCGGTCAAATCAGGAATGTTTTCGGTAGTAAAATTTTTTTTACTGTAAAAAAAATTCATTTCGAAAAAAAATTTTTTTTATCAAAAAAAAAAAAAAAGGAAATTCCGTTTTTATAAGGTACGAATAATTAATTTTAGTCTGTGATTGATTTCCGGAATAATTACGTCATCCGAATATTCGAAGGTAAAAATTACGCAATTTCGTCGATACATAAAATATATATATTTTTTTTTTCCCAGACTTTTACCAGATTTTAGACTTATTAGAGAAAATATATACCGTATATGATGATGCAATTATTACGTTCTTGTCATAATTAAAATTAGTTTAGTTAGAAATCTACCAAAATCGATTATTAGTGGCGCAGTTAGTATGGCTAAATAACTTTACGTAAATTTATGAACTTTTTTGATGTATACTCATTGTGGTAAATATTGATCTTTCCAGAAACAAATGTTATGATCGCTGAATTATGCGATTTCGTCTGAACATGTATATCATTTTTTTAAAAAAAAAATCACAAATCTACGAAACACTTTCAACAAGATCTTTCATTTTGTTCAAAACAGAAGATTTAAATAACCTCATTACTAAAGGTAACCATTCTTTAGAAACATTTGAAGTTTGGACAAACTCATTGAATTGGAGCATTGTTTAAGTTATTCAATCTACTACTTCCGGATAAAGATTTATACTGAGTCATACTCAACAACCTAAACAAGTATCGTACTTGTCAACCTAATTCATTTTAATCAACTTTGTAAATAGATTACAAAGGATCGATTTTTCTATATATAAATACAATTATTTGTGAATGTGCGCTGTGGTATTCGTAAAACCAAATTTATTCTTTTTACACAAAATCGAGTTATAATCTTATAAATATAACAAATTACCGAAGAAATAACTTACCTAAATATATATATATATATTTATTTAATAAATTGAAGCGTTCTAACCCGAAACGAAATTAAAACCAATTACTATGATCCAACACGAAAGAAATCGCCTAAATTAATGAATAATAATAAAAAAAAAAAAAACTTAAGCCTGAATATTTGATGCCGAAAGAAAATAGTAAAAATGTTTAAAAAGAATTTAAAAGAATTAAAAGAGAAAAAAAAAACCAGTTAACAAATAATAAATAAATTAACCGCAGCAAGTCAGCTTCGTATAATAGTATTTAAGGCTAACCTTAGACATATGCTCGCTTCAACTGAACGTCCAATGTAATTAATTTTCATGGGATGAAAAAGAATATAATTTTTATGAAGCTTAATATTTGTTGAATTTGTTTTTCTTTTTTAAGAACTTATCTATAATAATTCCTTTGAGTTTACCTTCTGAAGTGGGGTCGACCCGCCAATTTATTATTTAAAGGAAATAATTTTAGAATTTTCGTATAGTTGTCTTTAGGATATGTTACTTTCTTAACGTCTAGTGTTGTCCAATTTAACATTTGGTATAATTTTATAAATGTCTATTATTTGAAGTGAATAAAATCGTTTTATATACAAAGTAAACTAAAAATGACTCTAAAATATTTTAAACCAGTATAATTATTCTACACTACAAATATATTATTAAATAATAATAATAATAATAAAAGCATTAAGTTGTAGGTTGAAGTTTTATTTCAGTTTATGGGAAAAACTTATTATCGAATTGTTTTAAATTTTCTTCATTTGACATTTCTTCATATTCGTACTATTCTACCATGTCAATCCATTCTTTAAATATTTCCATTCAAAAATTGGTACAATTTCATGCTCTGAATCTTTCAGGATATATTATGAGATTTTTATAAGATTTAGTTTCCCCGAGTTTAATCCTATATTTTTCAGCTAGTTCCCTCCTGGTACCTCTGGCAACAGTTGTCCAAAATCCATCAACATTTTCAGATAAATAGCTAAAAGAATAACTATTTAGCAGAATGGAGAAATAAGAAAAAGAAAATTAGGCGTTCACTTCACAAGAAACGCAATAGTAAAACTTGCTTACTAGATGCAAATGTATCCTTTTTCTTCCAGTTGATCCATTGCTCGTAAAGTTCGCGTGGAGTGGATTTTCCCGGAAGTACGTGGACCGTGTAACAACACATATTCACCCTCACAAATTAATTCGATTAATTTTTCGTTCGTTTCGGCCGGGTCCACGAAATAGACATTTTTATATTCCCACGGCATTATTGTACAGTTGACAGTAAATTTCTTTTTTTTTGTTATTGAGAATGTGCTAACTTATAAAACAAAAGTACTTGTGAGAACGAGAGCATGAAATCAAAACAAGTGTTTATTAATTAATTACACTTTCTTACACTCTTCCGAAAATTTTCTTTTTCCTTTGAAGTTTAAAATGTTCATGTTTGAAATTTTTTTTTTTTGACGAGAGAAAAAAGAATAAATACAAATGATTTATTCGAAAAAAGTGTGCTTATATATTATAAATAAACTTTTGACGTAAATGTAATCATTTGATTAATTGATGACATAACATGTGCTAGTTCTTGTGATCACTAATAAGAAAATGAGTAA